ATTTATGCTTTTGTTCTTATATCTAGCACTTAACAGGTTTAGATGATTTCTCTAACCTTCTTGATAATTTTCTCACCACTGAAATGAGGACAAAAATATCTACTGTGCCCATCTTATGGAGTTGTAGGGAGGACCATATAACCTAGTTTATGTTAAAGCATTATGAACTGCCAGCCATCATGGAGCTCAGAAACATTGATTTACTAGTGGCCCAGTGCACAAAATTCATGCATGGGGGGTGTCCCTCATCCTGGCCTGCACCCTCTCCAATACAGGACTCCGTGGGGGATGTCCAACTGCTGGTTTAGTCAATTTCTGTGGGATCAAGCCTAATTAGCAGTCAGACATCCCTCTCACAATCCAGGACCACTAACTCCTAACCACTCACCTGCCTGCCTGCTTGATGACCCCTAGCTATTCTGTTTGCTGGCCTGTTTGCCACCAACTGTCCTCCCCAGCCTTCTCACCCCCAACTGCCCCACCTTACTGGCATGATCAACCCCAACTGCTCCCCCTTCCTGGCCTGATCACCCTAACCTCCTCTGCCTTGGTCCTGCCACCATGGCTTTGACCAGAAAGATGTCTGGAAGGTCTCCCAGACTAATTAGCATATTACCCTTTATTAGTATAGCTTTCCCATGGTTTCTCCAAAGATTTTTATTTCTTCTACTTGGTCTATATCAGTCCAATATGCATGAATATTTAAACGGTTCACATAAACTCTGATGGAATTTGGGCTTTATATCACAATATCAGCCTGATTCTCTTTTATATTTTTGGCCCTTCCCTACTCAGTAAATATCTGTCTGCCGCCTTCAGAAAAGTTTCACTTTAGTAACATGTACTAAATAGTGTATACAAACAACAATGTGGTACCATCTCACACCTGTCAGAATGGCCAACATCAACAAATCAACAAACGACAAGTGTTGGCGAGGTTGCGGAGAAAAAGGAACCCTTGTGCACTGCTGGTGGGAATGCAGACTGGTGCAACCACTGTGGAGAACAGTGTGGAATTTCCTCAAAAAACTGAAAATGGAACTCCCATTTGATCCAGTAATCCCACTCCTAGGAATATATCCCAAGAAACTAGAAACACCAATCAGAAAGGATATATGCACCCCTATGTTCATAGCAGCACAATCTACAATAGCCAGAATTTGGAAACAGCCTAGGTGCCCGTCAGCAGATGATTGGATCCAAAAACTATGGTACATCTACACAATGGAATACTATGCTGCCATAAAAAAGAAGGAATTCTCATCATTTGCAGCAACCTGGATGGAATTGGAGAACATCATGCTGAGTGAAATAAGCCAATCAATGAAAGAGAAACACCACATGACCTCACTCATTTGTGGATAATAAAGATCATTATAAACTGATGAACCAAAAGATAGATACAGAGACAGTAAAGCAACAAGCAGATTGTCAAATTTCAGTGGGGAGGGAAGGAGGATCTGGGGGAGATAATAGATCAACTGAAGGACTTGTATACATGCATATAAGTACAACCAATGGACATAAAGCTCTGGGGAGGGAGGGGATGGGTGAGAGGGAGGGAGGGGGGAAAATAAAATTAAATTAAAATTAAAATAAATAAATAAATAAATAAAATAAAATAAAATAAATAAATGCAAAAAAATAAATAAATAAAGTACATTTTCACAAAAAAAAAAGAAGAAAAAAAAAGAAAACCAAAGGAAATAACAATTCTGAGTTGGATTATAAAGTTTCTTTCCACTCTTTGGTATCAGTTATAATAGAGATTGTGTCTCAATTAACTTAAGCAATAAGAAAGCTAATATTTCCTATAAAGAGAAACCTAGCCCAGCCACCATGGCTCAGTGATTGACCCTTGATCTATGAACCAGGAGGTCAGGGTTCAATTCCAGTGAGGGCACATGCCGAGGTTGTGAGGGCATGAAGGCAGGAAGCTGATTGATAATTCTCTCTCATCATTGATGTTTCTATCTCTCTCTTTCCCTCTACCTTCTTCTCTAAAATCAATAAAAAATATTTAAAAAAAGAAGTCCAGAGCTGGAGCAGTTCCAAGGTTGACATCAGAACTCAGGAATTATCGGTGTCAACACTGTTTCACAGTATGTTCCCTTACAGGTAAAACATGACTGTTCTTGCTGAAACTGATTTGGATCTATGGATAGAGCATTGGCCTGTGGACTGAAAGGTCCCAGATTCGATCCTGGTCAAGGGCATGTACCTTGGTTATGGGCACATCCCCAGTAGCGAGTGTGCAAGAGGCAGCTGATGGATGATTCTCTCTCATAGACGTTTCTAACTCTCTATCTCTCTCTCTTCCTCTCTGGAAAAAAAATCAATAAAAACAAAGGAACAACAACACATGACTGCTCTAGTTTCAGTTTTTCAGACATGATATCTAGGAAAAAAAGAAGTACCATCTTACTCCAACTACACCATTGTAGGATCAGGAAAATGCTTCCCAGAAGTTACCTATCAAATGTGGAAAAAGAGTTTGGACACGGACATAGGATTTCTCTGGATTGATTCTAGAAGGTCCTTCAATATGCTTCTGAGTATCCCTTAAATCTCTGTGCTGCTCACAACAATTCTTATTTCTATCTCAATTGTGATTCTCCCAAGCTCTTTGTCTTCTACTGGAAAAATATCTCCATACAAAAGCCAACCCCTATGTTTCAAATTCTCAAGGCAGTTAATTTACTGACTGAAATCTGTACAATGACTACAATTTGCCTCTTTCAATATGGTAAATATCTCGCCCACAAAATCTAAGGAATTCTTGTCTCCTGAGACATATGAAATTGACTTGGACCTGGTCCTCCAAAAGATGATTGTTGTGTTGGCAAGGGGATGGATAGGATGACCTGGAAGGTCTACTCCAGCTCTAATTTTGATGATGTGATTCTAACCAGATGGGGCCAATGGCATATTCGACGTCTATTGATGCTACCTCTGTGATTTTCATCCTGGGTTTATTCTTCTGGTAACTGTATATTTTCTTTGGCTGGGCTCTCCATTTGTGATGCACAGCATGTGCGTCAAAAAGCCCTTTGTGTCTCACACGGAGCAGGCTGCAAAGTGTTCATGAAGGGACTGAGCAAATCTAACGTCTGCATCTACATTTTCATTTTCTTATGGAAACCCTGCGATCCTTCACAGATTGTGGCTTTTAGTGTACTTTATTTATTTGAATATGGCCAAAGACATGGCTTCTTAATGTTATGGTGTCATGTCTGCGTGTGAAGAAAAATAATAAACCATAGTACAGTGTCATACCATGTATGGTTTCCCCCTAATATGAAAGCAGGACAGCTATTAAAGAGCAATTTAAAGATAGTGGAATAGGCATTAGGTAAATATAACTTGCCTAGAGACCAGATCTTTTACGACTTTAACAATTATGCATTACGCATTACATATTACTTAGAAATATGCGCTATCTATGTTTCCAGAGGTTTCTTTCTCACCTACTCATGCTACACTGGGAAAAGGAGTGAAAAACAAGCAGGAATCTACTGGTAAAAAGAAATGAGAGATTTCTTTGTAGCTCATTTTGGGGTACATCTACATATACCACTGTACTTCATCATGGGCCCTGCCCTGAACTGCAGATGGAAACTGGCTAGAGAAGTAAATGTATTTGTACTTGGACCTATGCTAGTTGAACACTAAACATCTTTTTTATTTTTTATTTTTTAAAAACTTCTTTTCCATATTGAGAAGTAACACATGGTATTCACTGATCTGACCATCTTTATGCTGATAACATAATTTAGAGGATAAATGATGACATTGAATATAGGATAAAAATCTGAGTTCCTCAGCCTAACATATAAAGTTTCTTTTTAGTCAGAACTCAAGTTATCTCTTCTAGTCTCATTGCACCTTGATATTTCTCTAAGAATGCTCACATTTAAAGCCTAAAACTATTTGTCATTCCCAAGTAAATAAACACTTTTGCATATCTTATAGCTTTGGCCTACTCTTCCCTTTGTCTAGGGTTCCCATCCAACTTCCTGCTCCTAAGGGACTCCTATTGACCCTTCAAAACACAACTTAAATATTATTTCTTTAAATTTATCAGGAATTTCCTAAATGCTGAATCCTGGGGTTATTTTTTACTTCCTTAGAGCTAGTTTACCTAAGTACAAAATACAAGAAACTCAATATGGAGCATGCATTTTATCATAGGAGTTGTACAGATTGTCTATAAGTGTAATAGAGTTTTTAAGAAATGTCGTCTTGACCCAGTTCTGAGACCCTGGCCAGAGGTCAGTCAGTTCCCCTTCTTGAGAAGCTGATGAAGTCCATACCCCAACCATCTCAGTTAGTGGGCTATCACACTCTGGGCGAGGATTCACCTGCCCTAATCTACTCAGGGCTGGGTACCAGAGAACAAAGGGCAAACCCTCTGGCCCAGAGTCTGCTGGAGTTGTTCAAATTAGCCAACCCTAACCTGCTTACTTCCCACAGGAACCACAGTGCAGGATCCTTCCCACAGGAACCACAGTGCAAGTGCACTTTACCTTCTCCTCTGCCTGGTGCCTGACCTTGGTGCTATCCCTATGCCCTGCAGGGAATGCTGGGAGCTGAGAGTCATGAAACTAAAACTCATTCCAGTTTCTCTCTCTTTATATGCATGTGGCCTCACCATACCTAGTCCAAGGTAGCATGGTTAAAATAAACAGGGCACCTATTTCAAATTGGTGGGGCCAGAGGTTGAGAGTAGCTGTGACCCAGGTGAGGGATGTCAGTTGGATGGGGAAGAATGATGAGGGCAGAGGACCTGGGACAAGTAGAGAAAACAAAGTGTGTGCAGGCTCAAAAGAAAGGCCACATGTGATGTTCAGGAATCGAGAAAGTGTCACTATGGCTGGGAGTGGGGTTCCTGGGAGAGAGAGGGGCAGAGGATAGAGGTCAGTGAGGTCCATTCACAGATGGAGTTACTGTGGCTCATTGAACAACAGCACTCAGTTTAAACATCTAACATGACGTATAACACCCTCCTCTGTTAACATTTTCTCTCCTTAACTAGATGTAAAACTCCTTTTTTAAAAAATATGTATTTTTTTTATTGATTTCAGAGAGGAAGAGAGGGGGAGAGGGATAGAAACATCAATGATGAGAGAGAATCATTGATCAGTTGCTTCCTGCGTAACCCCTATGGGGGATTGAGCCCACAACCCGATATGTGCCCTTGACTGGAATTGAACCCGTGACTCTTCAGTCTACGGGCTGACATTCTATTCACTGAGCCAAATGGGCTAGGGCTAGACTTAAATTTTTTGAAGGAAGGAATTATGTCTCATTCATATTTGTATCTTCAAAATCTGAGAGATATGTTTTTAGAATGTGAGTTGAAGGCTTTATTGAATTAAATTGACACTGACTGGCAATGTGCTCATAGATGAAATAAGAAAAAGCAGAATGTAATTTTCAAAGCCTGGAATGAATTGGCCTTTGCCTCCCAATGTGAAGTTTCGTTAAGAATTTAGAAGGTCTAATTCTTACTCAGGTGCCTGCTAATATGTGATTTCAGGCATGTGGTGCAATCCACTCACTTTTTGTTTCCTCAGCCTTAAAATGTTATAAAAATACATAGCTCAGTGTGATTTTTCTTTTGGTGAATTAGATATTGAATGTAAGATACCCAGCATAATATAGACTAATCCTAGTAAGTGCTTAAGAGTATTTGTTTTCACAGCTTTCTCCTTTCCACTCTCACTCATCCCTGGAATGCTAATTAGAGGTGTTTTATAGCTGTTTGTGTTGAGTTGAAATGAACAAACCCTCACATTAATGATATAGTTGCCCACAAATCTTTAGGAATTATTGGTTTAGAACTATAAGGGGACTAAAAAAAATAAAGTCCTTGCCCAAATCCTATAATACATACAGGAAAATGGAATACATGCACAATATTTTCTATTAAAATTATCATCAAAGACCTGAAACCCTCATTTTTAATCTAATCTGCTAGAATGCAAACACCTGTGGTCAAAAAACTACATTATTGATCTTTGTTCTCTGGTGCCTCGCAGAGTCTGGCACACAGTAGGTGCTTAATAAATATCAAATAGTGAAAAGGCAAACAAGTGAATGAGTATCATGATATTACACACATTTTCACTTTTGGCTTTTTGACAGTTGCCTCATGTCTAATTCTGTACCATGTTGATTTTCTCAATTATGTGAAATCCTATCTAATAAGAGAGTGATATGCAAATTGACTGTCACCTCAACAAACAAGATGGCTGCCCCTATGTGGTCAAAGATGGATGCCCCATATGGACATATATGGCTGCCACAAGATGGTCAGCAGGGGAGGGCAGTTAGAAGGGACCAGGCCTGTAAGGGAGGGCAGTTGGTGGTGATCAATCCTGCAGGAGATGGCATTTGGGGGGAATCAGGCTGGCAGTTAGAGGTGACTGGGCCAGCAGGGGAGGACAGTTGGGGGCAATCGGGCTGGAAGGAGAGCAGTTAGGCATCAATCAGAATGGCAGGGGAGTTGTTAGTGATCAGGCTGGCAGGCAGAAGCAGTTAGGGGCAATCAGGAAGGCAGGCAGGTGAGCAGTTGGGAGCCAGCAGTCTTGGATTGTGAGAGGGATGTCTGACTCCCCGTTTAGGCCCGACCCTACTGGGATCGGGCCTAATGGCCAGTTGGACATCCCTCGAGGGGTCCCAGGAGAGGGTGCAGGCTGGGCTGAGGGACTCCCCCCCAAGCACGAATTTCATGCACTGGGCCTCTAGTTTAATATAATACACTAATCCTTTCTCCGAGTTATAATCTTGTTCACATAGCCTGCAATTACTCCTTACAAATGCTGTCCATACCATATATCTCTTTTATTCTGTATCCTGAAATGATAATCTCCACCTTAACAAATTAAGAACTTAATGCATGTGTCTCTTACCTGAACGAGATTTCTAACATATAGTTGAACCATTAATTGTCTCTCATATGACTATGTCAAACATGATTAAGATATGTATCACCATTTGTTTTCTCTGGAGAAGGTGCTTTAGTGGGTCCTCATGGTTGTCTTGCCTCACATTGGTTTGTATCTCCCTCCATAATTTTATGTCTAACAATGGGAGGATGTACCTTGGGAAGTAATGATATCCATTCCTGACATTCGAAGCAGGATTTGGTTAAATTCTATCAGTGTGTCTTTTACTAGCGGAAAGGTTAAAATAATGCCCCTTGAGTATTCTTTCTAGAAATAAAACTTCAGCAATTCTTGACACTTTGAGGGAGGATTGAACTTTTCTAAAAAATTCTATTAGTCAAAGCTGAATAAGCCCCAATTCTGGAAAATATTTAAATGATTTCTTTGCAGTTATTTTAGCAATAATAGAATTCAGCTCAGGAAGTTTATGTTAAATCCAATCTCACTGGCATTTTGGTGAGCTTTTTGCCTTGACTGATGGACGATAAAGAGTCAAGGCCGCTCCCTAAAGTGCACCTCTTGGATTACCCCCCACCGGCTCTTGCTAAAAAGCCCACTTCATGTAAATGAATGTTTTATGTAACATAGATCCCTATCCCATTTGGATTCTTTGTTATCAGATTGGACTACTCAGAATAAAAATACAGTAGTTAATATTTACAAATATTGACTTCAGTCTAGCCCTCTGGAACTTGAAAAATTAGTCTCTTGATTTTTCAGCGATAAGTCAGGAGGACTGTTTCGGTTGGACAGTGCGCAGTTCAATATTTATGCTCCAAAAGCTGGCTTGTGGGGAGGTGTGCAAATATTATTAGTCGAGTTATCATTAGCATTTTTGTAATACAGCATATGCTTTTATAGTAACACCAGACTAAGCAGGGTGGGAGAAAGACTTGAGCTGCAAATCTAAGCTTTGCACTCACAATCTTGTCAAACTGGAGTAACAAATTCAGTTCAGCTGTCATTTACAAATTATGTTTTATGCTTATGCAAATGTCTCTAAGATACTGCTAGATGTAGAAGAAATCTGGGAGAGTAGAAAGATATTAGAGTGATCTGTGTGGTACTGGGAAAGTCTTGTAATTTGGCTGTTCCTTTTTTTTTCGGGTAAATGGGAGCAACAATTTCTGCTTTTTGAGTTCTTAATGTGACGATCTGATGTGACTGGGTATGTAGAAACAACATTTAATCTGGAAGATCATTTGAAATGACTAAAGTTGAAAGAAAGAGATATGGGAGGCAGAGTCTGACCCCAAGTGTTGCCTCTACTTCAATTGACTGGTCAACAGATTGGCTACCTTTCATTTAATACTCAGCCTCTGGGGATGTGCTTGTTCATACCATTGCTTGGGACTTTTCTTTCTCATGTTCTACTTAAGGAATTCCCACCTTAGGTCACATTGTCTTGGGGAAATTAACTAATCTAGTAAGTTTATTTAGGCTGAGGTGTTAATGCATAGTGATGGATGAATGCCACACATTCTTATCTGCATATGGGGATGGCAAAGTCTTTGGATAAAAAAATCCCAAACATATTATTTTTATATAATAAGTATAATAAATAGACAGATATATTTAATATACTATATAATATATGTGGAGATTTAATATTATTCAAAGATACTGAGAAACATTAAATTTTTATATTAAAGCAAATGTGGATAGATTTTAAATTAGAAAGCCAAGTCCAAATGAACTTAAAAATATATATATATATAATTTTATTGATTTCAGAAAGGAGAGGGAGGGAGAGAGGGAGGGAGAGAGAGAGAGAGAGAGAGAGAGAGAGAGAGAGAGAGAGAGAGAGAGAGAGAGAGAGAGAGAGAAAGAGAGAAAGAGAGAGAGAACATCAATGATGAGAGTGAATCATTGATTGGCTGCCTCCTACAGGACCCCCAGTGGGTCCTGCAACTAGGGCATGTGCCCTGTCCAGGAATTGAACCATGACCTCTTGGTTCATAGGTGGACATTCAATCACTGAGCAACACCAGCCTGGCCAGATGAACTTTTAAGACAAATAGGAAACTTTAAGTGAATTTCATACTTTTTTGTGGGATCCTAAGGTTTAATTTCCACAACTCCCGGGGCATAAATAACTTGCCTCTGTCAGTAGGGATCATCAAGGGAAATGTTTCACAAACAGTGGCTTCAAAGTAATCTATTTATAGAGAGGGTTCTGGAAGCCTCACCTTAATAAGAAGAACTTAGAAGCACTTCAAAGCTCAGTGGCAAGATATAGGTATTCATGGATTATCCACACACATCACAGAGAAACAGAGAGACAAAAAGGACAGACATGAGGAGGAAGAGTCAGGAAAGAGAACTTTTGGGTCCCTTTACATTACTCTAATGTGGACAATCATTTGACTCCCTCTTTTTTGCTTAGACTTCTAGACAATCGAGATTGACAACCCAAGTACTCTCTAGAGTGGACATCAGAAGTTTTGAATAGGGGCATCTTACAGGGTTAGTCTATTAAAAGGGGTGCTTTAAGCTGAGTTGATATAACATGAATATACTTTTACTTGAGGCCCAGTGCATGAAATTCGTGCACGGCAGGTGGGGGGGGGGGGTGAGTTCCCACAGCCCGGCCTGCACTCTCTCTAATCTGTGACCCCTCTGTGGATGTCCCACTGAAGTCAGACATCCCTCTCATAACTCAGGACCACTGGCTCCTAACCGCTTGCCTGCCTGCCTGCCTGATTGCCCCTAACTGCTCCCCTGCCAGCCTGGTTGATGCCTAAACAGCTCCCCTGCCAGCCTGATTATCCCCAACTGCCCTCCCCTGCCTGCTTGATTGCCCTCAACTGCTCAAAAATACCTTCTCCCCCAGCGTCAGGGAGGGGGCAGAAAAAAATAGAAGACATTTCTTCCTATTGCACATGGATCCTATATACAGGCCTATCCAGCCCAGATCAGTGGGATTCTTGGAACATTCTCAGATCCCTGCTTAGGGGCAGGAAGGATGACTAGTGGCAACACACATGAGAGAGGACCTCGGGGTGGCCACTCTGGTCCTGGCTACTGGTCCTGGCACTTCCTGGTCCTCAGTTTCTTCCTAGTCCTGCCTGCAGCCCTGGTCCCCCTATCTGGCTCAGCCTCCCCATTCCATCCTGGCCTCAGATGGCCCCTTTGGCTCCTGGGAGCTCTGTCCTCCCCTCCTAGCCTGGAGATACTGAGAAGAGGTTATGGCTTCTCAGAGACTCCCCAGCAGACCTGTCACTTGTGTTCACACAGGGAAACGGGTGTGTGTGGCAGAAGCAGTTGTATTAATGTGGGAGCAGGGGCAAGTCCTCAGGGGTCACTTGGACAGTTTGCTGATGATGAGGGCCACATTCTCATCCTTGAGGCACTGGTTGTCAGCCCGGAGGTTAGACAGGCCCTTCAGCTCCTCTTCCAGCTCAGTGGCTTTGTGTTGCAGGTCCTTGCACTCAAATCTCTTCAGTTCCAAAATGGCCGACCTCTCTGCAAAATGCTTCTTCCTCTGCATGGCATGCTCCACCTCCACCTTGAGCTGCTCCAGCCAGCAGTGTGGACTCAGTCAGGGCCTCACAAAGTCTCTTGTTCTCAATGTGCACCTCTACATGGAGCTTCCTGAAGCCTCCCTTGGGCTCTTTCAATTTGGGCTGGGGTTCTGGGTTGAGGGACCACTGGCTTCACCTCCTCCTCCTTCACAGGCCCTCTCCTCTCCTTGCCAACTTTGCGTTGTTCCCTGGAAGCCTGTGGTCCTTGTCCCTGCCCATCAGGCACCTCTACTCTCTGGACAGGGTCATTAGAATTTTCAACCCCAGGGACTCAGGGCTGCTGGAATGGTCCAGGCTCTGTGCAGCCCACTCTAGATTGGCAGGCTGGTGAGGTTGGCCAGCCCCATCCCCTGATCAGGCTGGCTTGCTGGGTACATTGGGTGGTGGCAGTGGTTCACAGGAGGCTGGTGGGAGCCTCTGGCGCCTACAGGAAGTGGGAGCAAGAGGCAGGAGTGAGCCACCTTTGCTGCCTGTGGGAACTAAGGGGGAGGGACTGAGAGGTCAGCAGGTCAGCCTGCTCACCAGTCAATGCCACCTCATGGTGTCTAGTCATCTATCCAGTTGTTTTGGTTGTAATGGCCCCTGGCTCTTCATATATAGGATTATATATTCATTAAATGAACACCTTGACTGTCTTGGCCTATGCTGATATCCTGGGATATTTTAACACTTTAGATATTCCTTGCAAGTAGAGGATTCAAACCGTGCTTGGTTTATAAAATCCACATGATATGATTGTTAAACTTTCACATGCTTAACCTCTACCCCAAACTTAACCAGTCAACATTTCCAGGCAGAGGCATGGAATTGAATATTTCTATTAACTCTTCCCTGTGATTCTTGGACTCAGTAATACATAAAAAAATACAGGGTTAGTAGAAAGATATAGAAATTTTGAGCCAGAGAGACCTAAGTAAGCATCTTAGCCACTTGACTAGTCATGTAACTGTGAATGTATCAATTTCTAAATGTTAGCAATACGAGATTATTAGACATAGATCCTGCCTTTGAAGATATCACAAACTAGTAGAGGAGACACATATAATAGAAACATATATTAGTGGCATAAACAGTTTTAACAAGTCTTTATTTCCATGGGTTTATCTTCCAAACAATTTTAGAATCAAAGACTTGTGACCCATGCATTGCAATCATAGTTAACAATATTTTCATTCAATATCAACAATACCATTGGAACCAGGTTCTAATACACCTTACTAATCTTTTACAAAAAACATATGAATTCTTAACTTACTTTGTCAACTTATTTTACATGGATATTAACTCACTGCTCCCTTCCAGCACTTATTAAATACTTCTTCATTGATAGATTACAATGGATTTCTAGCCCCCAAAGAAAAAGGGGAGATTATTATTTATTAAAAATCAATGAGGTGCCATGTTCATTATACTAGTGTTCCATACTCAGAGCTACAGCAAGTTGTCTTCTTAAGGACTTGGGAACAAAAAAATAAGATTATCCTCTGAAGGCTAAACTATAGAGCCTGCACATGGTGGAAGAAACTAACCAAGGCTAAAAGAAGCAGCCTAAAATGTAAGAGTGGAAATGACTCAGGTAATGATTTCAATCTGGAGGTAGCTAGCAAAGTCCAGGTTACACATGCACAGTAAGGTTGAGTGACAGACAGCAGTCCTAACAAAATGAAGAAATGGAGAAGGTTCCATATTAATGAAAATAGTACATCCAAGAGAAGGAAGCCAATCAAGACAAGGTCAACATATTCCAGCATGGCCTGGAGGGGAGGACATCTTGGTCAACAGAAGTTGGGTAGGACATTCTTAACCTGTCAGGTTTATCCTTATATTGTAAACATCCATAAGTTATCTTAAAGGAGACCTGTCTTCAAGATTGTTAAATTCCTATACTTTGACTGTCAACTCATCTAAGTCATCTTCTAATGAAGATTTGGATTCTGAAGGGGAATGGCAGCAGAGAGGGAATCCACTCCTTATGAGGATTTCAAATAATCTCATCCCTGAGAAACATTTCTTCCCCTTATTAAAAATGTTACATCTACACTTTAATTGTGCATACTATTATCTCAATTCCCTATTTCATACCTTGTGGAAAAATTCAATGCTCTCTAATATTTCTGACAGTTCTTCATTGTGGGTTGAAGGAGTCATGCTTATAGTCTCAGGTTCACCTTGGGCTCTAATTTGCTATATTTTGTCACTGTTTCTTTATCTTTTTAGGCTTAATCCAAGAAAATCAACCATTTTTGTTTATAACAACAAAAATGTAAAAAACACACAAGGATAGAGTAGGCATGGAAACATTTCCTGGAGTTTTGAGACAATGACACTTAGGTCAGTGCAAATAAGTGTAAATTGCATACAACACATTCTTGTCTTTTTGTGCCATCCTAGGCATTACATTTTATGCTACCTCACTACCCCATCTTTCATCCTCTCAGAACTATTACCTACCTGGACACACACACACACACACACACACACACATACACACACTTTCCCCCCGTCTTTCCTATACAAAATTCAATTGAGGTTTTAAAATAACTGCCAGAGAGTACCTACTTACATTTTTAGATAAGTTGCTCTGTTCTTTCCAAACTCAGTTTTGAGATAGAGTTCAAGTTCAGATTTCCAGCTACAGTAGCATTCTGTTACCAACCTCTACTTTCTTTGCATTTTGGTTAGTTTGTCTGAAACTGATTGCCTCTGGGACTGTCATGACTAGGTCATTGGGCTTTTGGAGCCAGGATCCAGACCCAAGAGCTGAGGTGCTGCTCAGCTTTAGCTGGACTGTCTGCCAGTCACAGTGCAGGCATTCTTCTCTGTTACAGTTCTGTATATTTATATCTTCTGCCATCGCTGAGGCTCTGGTTTCCAGGGCAAGTGTATAGATACTGTCTTTTAATGATTATGACTCCTCCACACATTAAAAATTATTACTATTCTCATTTTACAGCTAAAATAACTGAGGTTTAGTGGTGTTTAAGGTATTTGTTCAAAGTTTCACAGCATAAAACAGAGCTGGAATCGATTTTTTTGGCCGAACTTCATGTTCCTGCTCTTTCTGCAACACGGACAAAGCTTACATTTGACCAAGCATCCATTTATGTGACTAGCTGGTGCAAATATTCTTTAAACTAAACACAAATCTTCTTTCACAGAATCCTTCCCACAGCTCTGATAAGATATTACTTTAATGTGGGATCTTTAAAATTGTTGTTCTTCTGGTGTTTAAAGAGTCATCCTTTTGAAGGACTAGCAAAATTGCCTGTTCTCATCTATTTCACTTCCAGGACACATAATGCAAACACACAGCCCAGTCATCCCACATTCCCCAAAGGGGCATGAGGTCAGGTACTTGTGGCTATTTGGAGTGAACATGTCATAAACTAGAACATAATAGTTATGTGCACACGTATACAGCTCGGCCCCAGGAGAGTCACTGAAGCTGAACCTATGTTTTCAGGAGCTTCTGGAGCCCTGACCAGTTTTGCTCAGTGGATATAGTGTCTACCGGCAGACTGAATGGTACCAGGTTCAATTCCAGTCAAAAGCATGAACCTTGGTTGTGGCACATTCCCAGTAGGGGGTATGCAGGAGGCAACTGATTGATTTTTCTCTCTCATCAATGTTTCCAACTCTCTATCCCTCTCCCTTCCTCTCTGTAAAAAAGCAATATATATATATATATATATATATATATATATATATATATATATATATATATATATATAATTTTTTTTAAAGGGTTGTTGGAGAAAACTGAACCAAGCTAGGAATCAGAATACACATAGGTCTTTGGCTGCTATTTAGTATGCCTCAAATGGCTATATTCAATCATATCCACAGTTCTGGTTCCAAATACAAATTATACCAAGCTACATTTGGGGAACAGGGATAATCACACACATTTATAGATGTGGTCAGTGTACACTGAACCTTCGGAGGGTCAGTCTCTCTTATTAAGTTTAGCACAGAGTCTGAGTTTAATAAATTTTTGAAGAATGAGACTTCAGTTAGAAATCTGGGTGGTTTCCACATTGTAGGAAAGGGTGGGATTTCATACCTTATCCCCATTCCACAGAAGTAAAAAGATGCTATAAATAAAGACCCAATTGGAATGGGTCTCAATGAAGCCTTCCTTACTGTACTTCCCTTCTCTAAATCATGATGTGCACTTTCTTGAGTCTTAAAGGAGATGCCTGAGTTATTGCATAGCATGAACAGAGGCATGGTGAGCATGAGGAGAAATATAGGTGGCAAGTTCAGAGACATGATTATAGGAGAAGATGCCTCCTTTAAATAGCTGTGAAGAATTTAATATGGAAAGAAGTAGATCAATGAGAGAACATTGAAGGCAAGTGGGAAGGGACCAAGTTGGAGAGGTAGACGAGGATCAGAACATGGAGGCCTTGAATGTTATGCCAAAGAACAAGGGTCTTACCCTTGTAGGTATTATCTAGTGGTGAACTAGGCAGAGTTCCTTTGCATGGAATTTTTCTTCTAAGCAGAGAAGTGGAAAAAAAAATAATTAGCAAAGATCAGGTAAGATGTACAAAAGAAATAGATTAAGGTTGAAAGAACATGGTTGTTAAAGCCAGAGAAGCTTCATTCAGATCTCAGGTCTACTACTTTTCGACAGTGTGAGCTT